CCGGCGGGGCTCCCCGGCGCCCTCCCCGCAGGGCTCGGCACCGCTCTTCGCTGCTCTGCCAGCCTCGCTCGCACGGGTCGACAGGGCCAGGCGGTCGGCAGAGAGGGCTCCGCGGGAGCGTGCTCATCGCCTCCTGCAGAGGGGACCAGGACAGAGCGAGACTTCAGGGCCAGACACGTGCCCGCAGTTTCCCTTTTTAACTACCAAGTAAAACGAGCATGCCCGGAGATTTACGGAGCCTGGTCGTTTCTTCGCCCCTGCTTAAATAGGCCCATAACGCTCGCCCCAAAGAGCGGGCCTCATCCCTCAGTGTCACTTTCCTGGCTGGAGCGCTTGCAGCTGGCAGCTTCAGAGCATTATTGGAGCTGAGAGTTGCTTACAAATAAGTCTTGAATGAAATACCCAGCGAGGGATGAGAGGGAGAGAGGCCGTGCAGGGAAATCAGGAGAAATGCATCTCCCAAAGTGCCGCCACCGAGGTGGGGGGGCTCTGCCGCCCCGCGCGCTCCTGTCACAACGGATACGATCGCACATCTGTCAGCGTTAGTTCTCCCCTGCCCAGCAAGGTGATCTGATCAGGCGCCGACAATGTCAGGTGCATCTGACTGGTTCGGGTTTTATTCCCCCTGAGCCGACAGCCCAGGTTCCCTTCCTGGGGAAATGCTGCTTTCTTCGGCAGGACCGTGCGGGCTAATTCAGCAGTGCGCCCCTGCCCTGCAGCCCCCCCCCCGAGGTCTAGGGACTGGGGCCCTGGGCAGCGAGGCGATGGAGGGAGCAGGTCGTGCCCACGGCACGCTTTTCCCAGGGACTGGTCTGCGTTCGGGGCACGGTTGACAAGGCCTCCGCGCGGAGGGCCCGGCCCCCTCCCCGGTCCCCCGACAGGCTGCGCGTGGGTGAGGGCAGAGCAGCGAACGGCGCTCATGCTCTGCTGTATCTATCCCTGCGGATAGATGCACGGGCCATCGGTAGGGAGGCTGAGCCCCTCGCCCGCCGGCCCGCTCCGTGCAGCTGCACGCCACCCAGCCGGTTCCCCAACCCTGCTAGCCGTCTCCTCTTGTTTCAGTGCGGCGTGTGGCCCCTCGCTTCTCCATCCCTCCAACCGACCACGAGGTGATGCCTGGGGGGAGCGTGAACCTCACATGCGTGGCGGTGGGAGCCCCGATGCCCTACGTGAAGTGGATGGCCGGCCTGGAGGAGCTGACCAAGGAAGACGAGATGCCCGTCGGCCGCAACGTCCTGGAGCTGAACAACATCATGCACTCCGCCAACTACACCTGCGTGGCCATCTCCTCTCTGGGCATGATCGAAGCCACGGCCCAGATCGCCGTCAAAGGTAGCGCCCCGCTCCCTGAGCAAATCCCTGAGACGTCCCACAGCCCTCCCCCCTTACCAGGAAGACCCAGTCCAATTTCCACCTATTTTTCCTGCCATGATTTTGCAATTTGCTCCCTGTGCAGGGGCAAGGGGAGAGCTGTGGCAGGCAGGCCAGTTAGCCCCAGGCCAGGTCCCTGGTGCCCCGAGGTGGGTCGCGGGATCTGGGGGATCCGCTTTCTCCTGGGGAGTTCTGGCTCACATTTCCTGCTGGCGGGTCCTTGCTTGGGGGAGCAGCAGGTCCCTGGCCTTCCCCACGCTCCTCCCAGCCTGCAAGGGTTATTGCTTGGCAAGGATTTGCAGGCTGCCCCATGCCCCCTCTGCCTTCCCCCCTCCCCATCACTGCTCCCAAACCAGGAGTGGGGCAGGGGGATGCGCCCCCTGGCACTGCACTCCAGGCCGGGTTGCAGTGCACTGCAGGGCAGGGCTTGGGGCAGCACTGCCACCTTGTTTCCAGGACCGCGGCACGCGGGTGAGCGCTGGCGAAGCCGAGCTCTCCGCTGCCACGCTGCAAGCCAGCCCTCTGCCTTCACAACTGTCCTGGCTGCACTCCCTGCTGCCGGTTTCCTGTCCTTCGACCCTACAGCGGCGTGCAGGAGAGGTCCCAGCCGAGTCCCAGCAGCATGGCTGAGGCCTCGGCCCCGTCTCCTGCTAGCGCCCAGAGAGCCGGGAGTGTCACTTCGCTCTGCCCGCAGGCAGACGTCCCGCAGATTCCCACAGACAGGTTATTCTTTGGCCCTCTCTGTTCTCACAGGCCCCGTCCTGCATCACTGTCACCTTGCAGCACCGCGTCCCTGCTCAAACAAACCCGCAGAACTGAGATGGGGCCCCTTTGACCCAGGAGATTAACAGCCAATTCGCCTTCCCCAGATGCTGCTCAGAGAAGCCTGTTAACCCAGAGCCACGTGCCGTTCGCTCTGCTCTGCTCCACGTGTCCAGCGCTCCCCTCCCTCCCCGGCTCTTCCCTTCGTGCAGCACAGGAGGCTTGAGGGGCCTGTGTGAAGGGAGGAGCAGACCCTGGCCCTGGCCCTAGGACACCGTGAAGGGCTCTTTCACCCTCCCAAGACCCATGGGGCACTGGGGACGGCCCATCCCTGCCACCCCCAGCCCCTTCCCTCTTGTTTTGGCTCACAGAGGCCACAGCCCCTTTTGCTCGGTTGCCCCAGACGGGGCCTGGCCCCGAAGAGCGCATGCTCTTTGGTTGCAGGCTCACGGCACTCAGCTGCGCTGCAAGAGCAGATCAAATCCAGGCATCTGTCCCAGCCCCCGATTGCTTTTCGCAGAGGTTAAACGCTCGGACCTCCTGCTTTGTGCCCGGGGCTCGTGCCTGGCATTTCTGCGGCACGAGCAAGTAGCCGGCCCCTTGCCCAGGCCGGCCCGTGGGAGACTCAGATGACCGTTCGCTCGGCTGCGCTCGTGGTCTGGATGTCCACGGGTGCGCCGCAGAGCTCTCCCTGCCCCTGGCACAGCGGGCACGTGGCAGCTCCTCCGCGCAGCGACAGCAGCTCTTGTTAACACGTTAGGAGGCCGGCATCCGAGTTCCCGCATAACGCTGTATTGTCTGGTTACAGCTTGACACTCCACCCTGTGACATAGCAGCTGTAACAGTCGGTAATTTCTCTAGCTGCATCCCTTCTGCATGCCCCGTAACACTGACCAGGCTTTCCCACCAGACCATCTAACAGCACCTTCCATGAGCTCCCCCGACCCCGAAGCAGCTCAGGCTGCTTTCCCTCAACCCTTCCCGAATCGGCTGTGAGCCAGGCTTGTGGGGACGGGGGGATGGCCCAGACTGTCGCCAGACGCATCCCCACGCCCAAGAGCATCCCTGCATCCCTGTTAAACCACCTTTATTTAGCCTGCTGCTGCCAAGTGCCTCGAGCACATCTAATAACATGATTGCTCTGTTTATCCTTCCATTAAGAACCACTTCAAGCAATACATGGTAATCTAAAAACGCATGTTCCCAAGTACCGAACGATTTCTGCTGTTTAGAGAAGGATGCTCCTAGGTGGCGGCAGCGCCGGGGGTCTCCCTGCTGGGGCCTGGGCGAGCCTCGCCGTTCACTGTGTCCCTCTCTGCCTCCCTGCTCCAGCGCTGCCCAAGCCGCCTTCGGACCTGCTCGTCACAGAGACGACGGCCACCAGCGTGACCCTCACCTGGGACTCGGGCAACTCGGAGCCCATCTTGTTCTACGTCATCCAGTACAAGCCCCAGTCCTGGGAGGGCCCGTTCCAGGAGGTGGACGGCGTGGCGACCACTCGCTACAGCATCGGCGGCCTCAGCCCCTTCTCCGAGTACGAGTTCCGCGTCCTGGCCGTCAACAACATTGGCCGGGGCCCCCCCAGCGAGCTGGTGGAGGCGCGGACGGGCGAGCAGGCTCCCTCCAGCCCGCCCCTGAAGGTGCAGGCCCGGATGCTGAGTGCCAGCACCATGCTGGTGCAGTGGGAGCCGCCAGAGGAGCCCAACGGGCTGATCCGCGGGTACCGCGTGTACTACACCACCGACCCCCACCTGTCCCTGAGCATGTGGCAGAAGCACAACACTGACGACAGCCACCTCACCACGGTGGGCAGCCTCATCACCGGGACCACCTACAGCATCCGCGTCCTGGCCTTCACGTCCGTGGGGGATGGGCCCCCCTCAGACAGCATCCAGGTCAAAACCCAGCAGGGGGGTACGTATGACGCGCTCTCCCCACAGCGCCACTGCTCGCAGGGCACCGCACACGCCTCGCCCACTGCCCGCAGCCGTCCAGGGGCATCTCATGCGTGCGCGGCTCCGGCGCCGCGCCTGGCGCTGGAGCAGCTGCGTGTCAGGGTGACATCTTGGCACCAGAGACAGCAGCTGCAAACACTCTGCGCACATCGTGGGGAACCTGTGTTGGCTTCGGCAGAAATAACCACATTAGCAGCCCTGTCTGGGTTACGACAAGGGCGAGTGTAGTGTGAGCTCCAACGAGGCCGCCCTGCAGAGCCCTGTGCTGCTCTGCCGGGCATGCTGCGAGCAGAGGATGGTTGCGTGCATGAGCTAAGTGAGGCTGCTGGCCCAGGGAGCAGCCAGGAACGGGCCCGGCCTCCCCGAGTCAGTCGCCAGGTGGGCAGGGGGCACTTGTCACCGCTGCCTGACCAGGGTGGGGAGGGAGGGAGGTGAAACAGGGCCAGGAGAACACACACAAGGTCCCGGTGCCCTTCGTGCCACCTCCCCCCGTCTTACTCTGTTCTGCTGGTCCCCAGTTCCAGCGCAGCCGGCTGATTTCCAGGCAGAGGCCGAGTCGGACACCCGGATCCTGCTGACCTGGCTCCCCGCCTCGCAGGAGCGCATCGTCAAGTACGAGCTGCTGTACAGGGAAGGAGAGGATGGCGTCCAGGTGAGGGGCCTGGCCCCTGCGGGGTCGGGGCTTCGGGATCGCGCGGCAGAGGCAGCTGTCGGCACCTGGGTTATCTGTCACAGGGCGGTCACTGGGCTGTGGGCTGCCCTGCGAGCAGGTGGGATGGTGGGTCCCCTACCTCCAACACCGGGCGATTCCCAGCGAGTTAGTAAAGCAGCTGTGGCTCGAGGCTGCGGTGCTGGCGGCAGTGGCTGCAGGACAGGCGCGAGGGCAAGGGAGTGCAGCTTTCCAGCAGACTGCAAAAATGTTTTGAAACGTGGCCCAACGGTGCTAGGACCAGACCCGCTGCAGCCAGGGAGCTGGGTGTCGAGGAAGGCTTCACAGCTTGGGGGAGGCTTGCCGTGGGGGAAGGACCCTCCTGGTTCACTGCTGGGGCCCTGCGACTGCCGAGCCCTCCGCAAAGTACCTCTGTTTCAATCTGGGGCCCAGGGCAGCTTCCTAAGAGGAGCGCAGGCCCCCCAGTCCCAGTGTCCTGCCACCGCGCTGGCTTTGGCCCTTTCCCGGTGTTTCTGCTGGTCGTGGGCACTGCTGCGCCCTGGAGCTCCCGGCATCCCACCAAGCCCTTTGCTGGGGCCTGCCGCGTGGGCATTTCCAACCCCAAACACTGGCCAGTCCCCGACGTGGGACGTGATCCCCATCCACGTTGAGAGCTGGGGCAGGGCGGCCACCGAGCAGACCCTCAGGCTGGAGTTCAGTGGCGACGCTTCTCCGCCTGCTCCCAGCCCTGCGGAGGAAGCGAGTGCCGGCGGCCCGGTTCAGGGCCCGGGTGGGAGCCCTGAGGCCGAGTGACTTTGTGGCATCTTTGCCCTTGAATTCAAGCAGCTCAGGGACCCGGAGAGCTGCGGGGAAGGCACGACTCGCATGTGGCCGGGCCAGCGTGGTTTGTGGGCATGGCTTGAAGCCGCAGCAAAGTAGGTTTAGTTTGGACATCAGCAAAATCCTCTTCGCTGTCAGAGCAGGGAGGCAGTGGAGCAGACGCCAGGCAGGGGCTAGACTTGCCATCCCTGGAGGTGTTCAAGGAGAGTCTGGGCAGCCGCTGGTCAGGGATGATCTGGGTGTAGCGATGCCACTATGGAGATTTCCAGGCTTCTGGGCTTTGGTGGGGCTGGGGGGACTCCTGCCTCTCTGCTACATGATTCAGGGGGGTTTGAAGTCTCCCCCAGAGGTGCTGGTGCTGCTGCGGCCCAGGCTGGGGATGGGGCTGGGCTGGGCCAATGCTCCTGCTGGCACCAACCCTGCAGGGTCCTGGCTGGGGGGGTCTTGCCCCTGCTCTCGGGGTCAGACTGGCATCATATTTGGGGTCGGGAAGGGATTTAACCCCATGGTCAGATTGCTACAGACTGTGGGGTTTTGCTAGTAGGGGGATCTCTGGAGCGTGTATTAACAGCCCTTGACAGAAGCAGGATGTCGGCTGTTGCGGCTGCCCTGCTTTCCCTGCGGCAGGTTTGGGTGCAGTGTCTTGCATCGGGGTGACCGTGTCGTGTTGCTCAGGGGTCAGGCACGGGGTTTGGACAGGGCTGATCCTGCCTCAGGCTGGGCTCAGACTGGATGTGACCTCCCTGCCAGCCCCATGGCTCTGGGTTTTGTGGTGTCGGGCGATTTGGGGCGTGCGTTTCCCAGCTCCGCCTGGCCTGGAGTACCGGGCACTGGTTACGGTAACACGCGTCTCCTGCCTGCCTTCCAGCGCAAGGTGGAGTTCAACCCCAGCTCCTCGTACGCGGTGGAAGGCCTCAAGCCCGACACGCTGTACCACTTCCGGCTGGGCGCCCGCTCGGAGCTGGGCCTGGGCGTGTACACCCCGACCATCGAGGCCAGGACTGCCCAATCCAGTAAGTGTCCGCAGGGCTGCAAGAGGGAGACGGGCCGGGCTGGCACCTCGCAAGGGTGGGGTGCCTGCCCCCAGCTGGTCCGACAGCGGTGCCCCCGCGGAGAAGGGGGCATCTGGGGAGCGCCAGCCAGGGCTCTGCATCTCGGGCCGTTGGGCAGGAGGTGGCCCACGGTAAGTCCTTTCTTTGTGTCCATTCAGCCATGCTCCCCAGCGGGCAGACTCGCAGAGACGCCGGGGCGGTGGGCCGGGGGC